CCCCCCCCCCCCCCCCTCCCCCCTCCCCCTGCCAGAATTAGAAGGGAACTACTTCATCTAGCCATCGGCCATCGGCATCCTTGACTGCCGCTTCCAATAAATATGGTGTAAAAATTCTCGGAAAAAAGTATAAGCAGAACAAACCGGCGTAAACGTGATGAACTCGCGAGTACCAATTGAGAATTTCACCATCAGATAATGCCGTCTGTTGAAAATTGCTGTCAGCCTTCCAGTTGATAAAAACAGGACCGCCACTCGGAGGCACAGTCAAACCAGAAGGGGGTATTTGGATGTCTACAGAGTCTGTCAGACATACTACAGCAAACCGGCGGTCTTGTTGAAAATTTAGGAACTGAAAGGGAATTACTGATTAAGTGGAAATTAAGAACCAGTTTGTTACAACACTTAAAATCAGATAAATCAAATCTTGAGAAACTGGATTTGCATTCAAGAGGAATTGGATGCAGCATCTATCCCTCTTTGCTTCCTTAGTAAGCGAGTACATATTGAAGATAATATTTAGGAAAACAATAACATATCCTTACGGCATTAGCAAAGTCAGGGCCGCCTCGGCTGTGGGCAATGACGAAAAATCTTTCGATTTGTGAATCCTTCAGCAGCTTCTCATATACAGCACAAAGATGTTGGCAGGCATAATTTTGTATCTAAAATGATGGGATAGTGGAAGGAAAAACGAGGAAATAGAAAAGAGAACTTCTAATAGTTAAGATACTTTAAGGGGGCTCTGGTAGGGTACAGAGCGGCAGCCTGCTCTTGTCTAGGACTAACAGGGTGTCGTAAAAATGGGGCAATTCCTAGAGATTAATGGAATCCCCCAAGCTATTTTGAGGAATGCTCGTTTGTCATTATGTTAGCTAAGGGAACTGTAAGAATGCAAACAAATCAAATCATACCTGTTCCTCTGTATTTGTACTGCACACAACAACACCCCAACCATTCTTTAGAGCACGTTGAATGTACGGAATCTGCGATCCTGTTTCTAGACTCTCATTCAGTATCAGTCTGAAAATAGACTTCCTAATGGCGGCTGGGTCACTTACTTTAAGACAGGCTGCAGGTTCTTATTGAAATCAAAGGCGGCATTCAAAGCCTATTATGGTCGCAGATGGAGGACCTCAGTATCGTCCCTATTCCGCAAACGGCTCGATGTTTGCATGAATTCTCAGGTAGAGTAAAGGAAGAGATTTCGACACGTGTAATTCTGAAGTGGTTACCTCCTACTGTGATATCAATAATCCTAGGCGCGTGTAATGGCGGGTGTGTGCATGTCGAACATTGAACAGCGAACACACGTTGGACATAGACCAACTTGAAAATTAGAAAAGTTATCACCGTTCTTCAAACAGTAAGCTAATGTGCTGCTGCTTCTCGCCCATCATTACCAGGCCGTTTATGGGCCGCTTATGGGCGACAGCGTCGACCGATATAACACATGGTCGGTAACCCATGCCCTTTATGCCATGATTTCACGTCTGCATGTTCTGCTTCGTTCCTTGCGGATCGAGCTAGTTTAAATCAAGCATCAAATCTCAGCATGAGTCTCATGAGCTATCGACCATACAATGTATCGATTGACGCCCGCCACCCATCGGCGAATGCGGACTATGAACGCATCCTGTTTTACGAGTTCCTTCCGTTGACTTTAAACTCTTCGGTTTCACTATGAGTGATCACCGACCAAAAAATCGGTCGGACGGCAAAATAGGTCTACAAGAGTCAAAGGATTAGCTCACCTTCTTGACCATTGCCCAGGACGTACTGCTCCACTACCGTGAATTATCAGTGTGACAGTTGATTTACTTTGGAAACCGGGCGATACATAAACGAAGCCTTTGTAATCCACTGAATCACCATGGTCATTAGCGATTCTGATCTGCAAGGTGTAGGGGCGATTATGCACAAGCTCTAGCCGAAATCGAAGAATTGAAAAGAAGGGATATGTTGCGAGGGACAACTGACGTTTCAAAACTTCCAAATTAACTAAGTATGTAGAGCGCATATGAAAATAATATGATAATAGAAATATTTGAAAACACGAAAAGCTGCAAAAACGAGAAAGATTTGATCATGTCTCGAGGGTTAAAGTGAGCACAACTCTCCTAGTTTCCCAGTTAGAAAAAAACTGTTATCTTTAGATAAACGTCCAATGCTTAAAAAAACACGATTGAATCTTCATGGACATTACCGATGGTGTTACATTACAGGAGCCGCTTATTTGGGTTCAATGGGTATTTTGGTAATTTCAACGGGATTCCCGCACCCACATTTCGACTGAGACACGGGAATTTGGTGCTCTTTCTGAAGCAGATTAATTTGTTCAATTGAGCATCAGAGGAACGACAAAGAACGGCAAAAATCCCTCTTTTCAGACTGAGCAAACTTTCAATTTTCCAACTAAGCACTCTATGAACTTTTAGAAGCATTATGAGAAGAGTTCTCACTGGTATATCAATCTTTTCCAGGCCACATTGTCTTTCCAGAATTCCATATAGTTCCTTCGTCATTGCATCACCAATTCGTACGTAATCCTCTTGATTAGTGAAGACGAATCGGGAGCCATCCTGGAAAACAACGAATTTGGAACTTCTGTTTGAAATTACTTCCATTTTTGAACTGTTACTCTACCAAAAAAAGGTTTTTTAATTCAACGTTAACAATGTGACGTTCGTGGCGGGACCAATTCAATCGCTGTGGCTAAAAAACTCCGCTGTTCCGGGGGAAGTTATGTGCATAGTGAGTCATTGTGCAGGTACAACACACCCCCACTAGCCCTTTGTGGGATAGATGCTTCCCATGACTGTTATAATATCCATCAATATTTACAAGTGGCCTATATTTTCAAAATCTAAAGAAATAAGTTCGCTATAAGTTTTGTAATGTATATGAATACACAAAGGAAGTCTTTACAGTTGATAAAGCCAGAATCGTCTAACCTCTATTTTCCTCAGTTCACCGTTGCCATTGAATCCATAACCAAGGTCCTTAAGCGTTGCCATAACTGAAAAGGAACCAGTTCACTTTGAACTGGGAGGCTCAAGCCGAAATCGGCAAACGCGGACGGAGGCCAGGCGATGCCGAGGCAACTCGTTCTGGCCGCCGCCAGTCTCGTCCGCGGCTATTTACCCTTTTGGTTGATTGATTGCGAACGAGGCGATTCCAAACCGTCACGCTTCTTCTTTTATTCCTTTTCTTTGTTATTGCCCTTGTTTTTGTGAGCGCTGTGCATTCACTACAATGATTGTCGGCAACTCACTTTGAAATTGTTCAAAATAATTGGAACAAATAACGTTTTCCGCAAAAGTTAGTATTCTCAGCCACTGTTACGCTGTTAATTTTCTTCATTCTAGCTTTCTTTTCATTCTGGGACTGTCGAAAATGCTGAAGACTATTGAGAGTTAGGTCCATTTTGTAAACTCCTGCTCGAAATTTCAGTACTGATCTCTCCGGATATTACCCGTTTTTTAAACTATTTAGTAACTTTATTCAAATTAATGCGAAGATTGATGATGGTCGCTTTTTATTTATGCGTTTTATAATTAATAGCTTGCAAAGCGCTATTCGGAGAGCAGTGGTTAGAACACTTGCACTTTGTCAATCGAGTAGCTTGCTAACGGGAGGTAGGGGACCGCTGTTGTGCTCATGTTCGTGTGTGGGATGAATTCTCCATTTCTCTAATGGCTTTCTGATCAATATCAATTAGTTCTGGACTTACAAAGGAAATATGGTCGCTATTAACGGTACTGCTGAAGAAGCTGTCGACAATAACGGTCACGTGAGCAATGCGGAGGGAAAAGAAGGTGAAAAAACGTCGGAAAAGCAGTCTGATGATGAGGTACGGTTTGTCGCTGTCTGATTTAGTCATATTCGTATTGCTCAGGTTCTCATATACAGAAAAATGAGCGGTATTATAAGGTCAAGTCGAAATTTTCTTTCATTTCCGAGCTTCCGAGTTATCTACTAGAGGAATGAATTATTTTTATGGTTTTCGAGTTCAAGCATTTCAAGCAGTTCCTCAGATTGTATATCTCCACTTTGTTAGTAACCACTGAAAAATTTGAAATATATTAGCGAGCAAGGGTTTTTCTTACATACAGCAGTGACAGAGGGCTACAAGCGAAGTTTGTTGCTAGGCACAGTAATGTTTCAGTACCTTTAGGAATATGACCTTTGAACCCGTTCCTCAATGTTCAGCTTTCATTTTCCTCTTGATTTTACCGAAAAATCCAATAGTGGAGAGGGAGTAGAGAGGAATGGTGCTGCTGAAGTGTCCTTGTGAATCCTGCATCCATCACCAAGAACCGCTTTGTCGAACCTCCCGAGGCCCAACGGTCCAGCTAGTTTTCTGCCGTTTGTGGCTTGAGATGAAATGAACTCGTTTGACTACGAAACAGCCATCTGTAAAAGCGGCGAATTTCCAGTATGACGGTGGTATCCGAATGCGGACACTGTCTTTTAAGCTGTTTGAATAATGAAAATTGAATACTAGACTGGTTCATATGCAGCTTTTCAAAGTAGTTACTCAGGTTCTTACACTGTTTCTTCACTCACATCTAAGGCTGTGTGCTTCACTGAATCTTGCAAACCTCTATAAAATGGGGCCTACCTTTTTTGCTGTATCAGTATCCATCTGAACCCTCCTACACCGCCTTTACAAAATAAGATCCCATTCAGAATGAAAAGTAATATTGAAGGTAATGTCTTCTGACGGAATATGATGTACACAAGGTTGATAACATGATGAAGATGTCCCAATCATTTTAGTTTACTAATTCGGATGGTTCTTTTCCATTAGTTTGAGTAGAACGAGTTCGTCAGAACAATTTGGATTGCTGAATAATTTATAAGCATTTTCGTATACTAGGGAAGAAGTGACTTGATTTGATTTGATTCTCACTTTGTGAATGGCTCTTTCTAATCTGTGAATATATCCTTTTTTCTTATTCATTGTAAGATCATCTCAGGATGCGGCTAGCGAGGGTGCACGTGGCAGTGAAAACGAAAGCAGCGTTGCTAGTGAGAATGAAGAAGAAACAGCAGAAGTAAGTGGTGATGGTGAATATGAACTCGATAGGGAAGAGCCGGCTTCCCCTTCTGCACACGAATGGAAGATTATACTGATGAAGGCAGAGTTTGCGGAGGTTTGTTTTGTACTCCCTTGTTAGTGAAATTCTCTAATAATTGGAAAACTCATTATTATTATTTCTGTACTCCGAAAAAAGTAGTCTACTCTCACTAGTGTTAAATATGATAATGGTTCGATTTTTTTCGTTGTAATTCCAACATAAACTATGAACTTGTCATTTTCTGAACTTTTGCTTTATTGCACAATCGGAAAGCCATTTTATAGGATCTGTGTGAACAAATTCGCAAGATGAAACCGTATGAAAGGTGTCGAAGTACAGGAAAAATCATCACTACTAAGTCATTCAGAGATCTAATTCAGGTATAAAAATCATCTTGCTATTCATTCCTTTTCCCTCTTTCTGCTATTCTTCCAACAGAACAACTTTTTCAGGGCTTTTGTTCCTTCCTTGACTGCGGTACCAAGATTATTCCCAAAGTCATGAAAAATATGACACGTAAAGTTTTTGCCTGTTGCGACCTTCTCTTCGAAATATTTCGTGTTTTGCCGGATCAGTTGTTGGTAAGGAACACTACATTATCTAAAAGTTAACTTTTTTCGTAGTTTCTTTTTCTGACATTATGCAGTTTGCGGGAGAACGTTGTTTGTACGGGGTTCCATGGGGAATGACAGACAAGTTTGCTTAGTTTGAAAGACACATCTTTGTATACGAATCTGGGTTACGTGCTTTCTACTCCCAGTTTTTGTCGTCAAATCAAACCTCCCTCAAATCACCGAAGAATACTGTATCAAAGAACATATTGAAGAAAACGATCAGAGCGCCTTTCTCGAAAGTAAAAGTATTGGGTACGAATTAGTACGAGACTGGGCGCATTACTCATTATTCACCCCTATGTAAGAGAAGAAAAAATCTTAACGAATGCCCTAAGTTTCATATGACCATGACACTCATTGAATTTTCTTGTTACCTTAATAGATCAAGCATACTGTTCTACCGGAGAATGTCAGTCATTTTTGAGTGGACTTGTTTTCAGCGTTTTCGAAGTGACTGTATTTCTACATGGTTTAATGTGTTTCATTTCCTCAAATTCGTTCCCGATCCACAAGTATCAGTCACACCACGACTTTTCGATGTAGCGAGTAAGCTATACATTAATCTATTTCTTGCAATTCGTCCCTTGAACTTGAGCAGTTATTCAATAAATGTGTTAAGACCACCCTTTGAAAAGGCATCGGAAGAAAAAACTAGTGAGGTTGTTTCAAGAGGCTTGGATTGGTTTAATGATGTGTTCCGTAGGTTATTCGTTTGATCTTATTCATACGTATGTCTTTGAGTTCTCTTTCTTGAACTTAAGACAAACTTCACATCCTTGGTTCAGATTCCTCCCAAGGCTCTTGTCGTCATGATACCGTACATAACCGATAATGTGCTGGATAAGCTGGATGAACCTCATAAAACAGCGGATTTCTTTTTCAAGGTGATTGTGAGCTGAAAGTTCGTGCATCGACCCAATCGATTTTAATCTCTTGTAGGCTTTTGACAAAGGCGACATGTTTGCGATTCTCTCCCTTGCGGCAATTTTCAAACTAATAGTGTATCATAACTTGTAAGTTTACCTTATTCCAGTTACTTTATTTTTTTTCCAGTTTAGTCGTAATGTTTTTAATTTCAGTGAATATCCTAACTTTTATGACCATGTATATTCCCTAACAAAACCATCGGTGTTGTATTTGGATCAGAAGGAGAAGTTCATAATGCTACTCGATAAGTTCCTTTCGTCTACGTGAGTCTTTCTTTATTGTTCCTCGTGTTAATATACTCAAGCATTGGGCATCTTGTCATTTCTTTCTTCTCGCTTTCTCTTTTTTTCCGGCATACCAAGCATGCCTTTTTTGGTTTCTTTCGTTCGTTTGTTTTTCATTTTTGTATTTCTGGACAGCTGTTTTCTTGTACATCTCGTGCGAGCAACTTTTCATGACCATTATGACAAGTTCACTGAGACTTTTGCCTGATTTGTCATTTGCTAGCGATTCGGATAGATTTTTCTCTATTCCCATGCCCATATGCTGCAGCAAAGAAATGTTAGCGGCAGACTTATCAGTTGGTTTTAGGCATATTCCTAACTACATTGTTGCTGGTTTTGCGAAACGCCTCTCACGGATGCTTCTTCTTGCTCCTTTGGATGCTCAAGAACCAGTTCTAGGGCTTATAAGAAATCTACTCACCCGGCATCCTATTGTTTCCTCGCTTATTCATCGCGATCAACCAGGTATTCATAAGTACTAACCCCATATTGCCATGTTTCTATTTTGTTATTCGACCGGTCTTGCTATAGCTGTGCTCCCCTACGATTTCTATTATCTGATTCAGAGACCTTGCCTGCTGATCCTTACAATGAAAACGAGACTCGGCTAAGTGAATGTGGCGCTATGAACAGTTCTTTGTGGGAAATAAGGGTATGTTTCATGATTATCATAAAGTTAATTTTGGCCAAAAAGACATGATAGTTTATATCGTTCCGTCGTCCTATCTTGAGTGGTTTTACCAATGATGCTAGTCAAATCAGCTTACTACTTAATGGCAATCTTTCCCGTACGACGGCGTGGTTGAGATTTTCAATGAAATGTTTTTGATTGGTCGAATTCTTGCAGAAATCGTCCTAAAAGTGCTGGTTTTCAGAGCCTCCAAAAGCACTGGCATACAAATGTAGCGAAAAGGGCTAATTTTGTTGACAAGAAGTTACAAGAGGTATGTCTTTGACAGCATTTTGTATTAAGATACGTTTGTAAGGTACTTGTGATAAGAATATTTTAGATGGAATCGTTTGTGCGATTTCGATGTCAGGATGAGTTGTTCTCCAATATAATGGGAAGGCCCTTCGGCAGTGAAGGAGCTAACGAAAAGGAGAAGTACAGTCGAGCACAGGTGAATGTCTTGTTCGTTACTTCTCTATTTTGAGTATCACATACTAATGTGTGTGACGAGAAATCAAGGGCCATGGTTTAAATCCGCGATTTCTTTTGATTTTTCCACTGCCTTTTGTCTTGAAGCAAAGTGATGGCATTCTTCACAGAGCTCCGCCTTTTTGAAAAACGTTTTGCTCGAAGCGGCTACTTACTCCTAGCTCTAGCCGCCATTTTGCTTCTCGCTTCCATTCATTCATTTAATCGTTCCCTAACGGTTCTGTAACTATTATAAATTGCGATGTTCTGCTCCCACTACTGCTCATTTCGACGTATGCGTTTGCTAGGCTTACTAAGTTTACTTGAATACATCACCGCCGCCCATTCCTAACATGAATCGGGTTTTTGGGATTATTTTTATGCGCACATTCACACGCACACTTTGTAGTTGTCTATTTTTTTTCCTGGAACACCTTGAAGACTCCGTAGATCAGATTGTTAGGGAAGAAAAGCTAAGGTACGTTGCTCAGCTACTTAAGCTTGTCCTCTGAACAATGTTTCGTGACTACCATGACCACTGTAATGTGTCGATGAAGAAACAAACTCATTCGCATGCTCTTACCTGACAGCAGTTCCGGAATACAACCCTCGCAGCTGTCCTCAGTGCAGATAACATTGAAGTTAAACCTTCTTCAAAACCTCATCATATTTATTTGGCAGTGCGAAATAAGGACAAGATCAGGTTTTTAATTTAGTGGTTACGCTCATAATCGAGCACTGTCCTCTGATGTAGTGGTAATCATCAAACTTTCTGCCTGGGGTTTTATGAGGTTCACTCCTCAAGTAAACTTCCCTCTTGTAAACCGAAATCAGCTACTGCTGTAGCTAATCAAGAATACATCGCGTCAACAGATACCAATATTGATGAGTAACATCGAACAGCTCTGAAGTATCTGCCGAATTTTTTCTTGCTTTTGAATCTCAATGACACATTCAAACGCTCCCAAATTTGGAACGGAAGGGTGAATCCATTTAGAAACTCCCCGTACACTCTGTCACAAGAGTTTTCACATATTTTTGTGTCTCTTGAAGCTATTACCACTGACTTCATTCCAATGTAACTGATTTGGAAACTTGCTTTTTTAGGATGGGTCAGATGATGAAGAGTCCGAGCCAAAGAAGAAAGTACAAAAAAGAGGGAAATTTGCGAAGAAGCATGAGGTACGTTTATTTACTCAAAGATGTGAACTTCACTACTTGACAAGATTTATTCCTAACGTTTTCCAGGAATACAAGGAACATACAATTCCCATTAATTTCACAGCACCGACAGGATCGCTATTTCCTGAGAACTCCTTCCATTTGGACTACGAGAAGTTCTGGGCTATATAAGTGGTGGAAATCTACGGTTTCGTCGACGTCATTCTGTTTGTTTTGTTGTTCTCATAGTTACTTGTTATTGTTTGTACTTTGTCATGCTGTTCTTGTTGTGTGTTGTTATTACAAAATAAAAATTTTTTCAAACGTGCTCAGTTACTATGAGAACTCAGAAGTCATAGTCTTCTGAATTATCTTGAACGTTTATGTTTAGCGTGTGCTTCTTCCTAACAGGCTCTGTTTTCTAGGGTTATTACTTACAATGAACTTGAACAGCCCTCATCCTTCGGTATTAGGTAGTTTGGGAGGTGACACACCAGCTCATGGGCCTTCATCGATATTAGGTAAGTGGAGTTTTATGAAGATACTGTGCTAGGCTTCGCCTACCAATTGTTCGTAATTGATGTTCGATTTGGGTACATATTTGAATCTGAACACTTTTCAGGGGGACATGGTGGTCCTGGATCTGTGCTTGGCCAACATGGCGGTCCAGGTTCGGTCTTGGGCCCCGGATCCATCATGGGGCCGTCTAGCATAGTCGGACCTAACAGTTTGCTTGGTCCTTCGTCAATGATTGGCGGATCTCATCAAGGTCACAGTAAGTTGCTACTTCATATTTTTGCATATTTTTCCTTATGATCAGAAGTTGAAAAGTGGATTTAATGGACGAATCTATATTTTTCGTTCTATAGTACTCCTTTCAGTTGAACTTTCTATGTTCCTTTGCATAACCTTTCTGATTTTTATCATCTTGCATTATCTTATTATTATCTTAAGGCATGATGCACAGTAATCAAGGCCCAGGCTCCATGGTTGGGTTTTCTTCAGTGGACCGTGGAAGTAATATGAACCTGAACATCAACCCCTCATCTGTCGTCAACGTTGGTGGCAATCCTGGATCTGTATTTCAGGTTGGTATGGTTCTTGTATCATAACCCTATAGAATTGGTACTGCATGAAGGATATGGAGTGCCATGCGAAGATAGTTAGGTATCTATTCAAATGTATAGCATCAAGTAGTCCAGTTAAGTGGAGGATGGCATATTAACACACACATGCTAAGCAGGCATTTGCGCTCTGCTAGTCGTTTTTGAATGTGTTCGCCAACCCTTTTGCTACTTTAAAATTTCATATCTTTAAAATGAGCTTATTTCCTTCATGTGATCATCGACCTCCTCGCCACTTTGCCCTACTAGCGTGCATCGAGCGACTCCCTATACCAGGGATTCTTGTGAAACGTTTAAAATTTCAGCGAGCTCTTATGAAATGCATGGTTCTCATCTTTTATTCCGCTGCTCGCTATGGAGCTAGCTATTTCTGTTTTTATCTTTTGATAAGTCCTCCCTTACCGAGGTACAGAAGATGACTATTTTGGCTCTAGGGTGACATCGTAATTTTTCAGGACATGAACCCTGGTTCCGTAGGCCCGAATCTAGCTGTGCCCATGACACCTCTAAATTTCGAACAGGTACATAGGTTCTTGTTCTTGTAATTTTTCTGCTTTTGAAGGTTTCCTAGAGATCGTGTGATCATTGGCTTCATTTTCGATATTATTGCGATTTTTACTGCTGAGATTCTTTCTTGAGAATCAGTATGTGCCTTTTTCAAAGAAATTTGAGATATTTCATGATTGTTGTAGCAAAGTTATCGAGATGCGAACCACATGCCAGCATCGAATTTACCAGCAGCAATGATGCCAGCCACACCGGCAAGTGCCATTGACATTCCGATGCCGACGTTGCAAAACATTGTGTCTACAGTTAATCTTGGTGAAAAGTCACTCTTTTCTACTTTTATTTCACTAATTATTTGTTTGAGTAATCTCGATTTAGGCGTTCCACTTGACCTGAAAAAGATTGCGCTACATGCACGTAATGCCGAATATAATCCAAAACGTTTTGCGGCTGTAATTATGCGTATTCGAGAGCCGCGAACTACGGCACTCATCTTTTCTAGTGGTAAAATGGTGTGTACAGGGGCCAAGTCAGAAGATGCTAGCAGGTTGATGCTTGTTTTTCATATCGTTTGTTTGTTGTGAATATTGATTCGTCTTCCGGTGCTTTACTTTTACGGCTAAATAACTCAGTAGAGCTCATAATTTCAATTGAGTGCTGAACTTGTTAGTGTATTGTGTATATTATGTCGTTCGGAAATTATCTGCCGAAAATCGCCTGAAGTTCAAATTTTTCCGGGATATCCTGTTTTCGGTTCATCGTCGACCTTTTTGCTCCTGGCTGTTAGGTGTCCCAACGAGGCGTGCAAGGGACCTCGAAGAATTGGTTTCAGAGCTCAATACTTGTCCCAAGCTCGATGAGCTTCGACAGCGGAGTGTCCGTATTCGAACTCGTTAAGAAGTACCTGTCATGGGTATACAGTTCGGTCATTATAAGGTTAACTATGCAAAAAGAGGTAGACGGATATGTTATGCTTTTGTTGAGAAGTGAGTGTCCTTACACAGAAACTCTACGGAGGCTTCCAGAAAATCATAAGAGAAATTAGGGTTATCTAGAAATTTTCAGCAGTTACTTTTTGAACGAATAGATGTGTGAAAGGTTATTGGTGCAGGCGTAAGCCATATCGTTTCTGTGCTTCGTTTCTCTGGAAATATTATGGAGACTTAATTTTCAATAATATTTGGAATTGACTGAAACCTTTTCATTCAGGCTTGCTGCCAGGAAGTATGCACGAATTGTCCAGAAATTAGGATTCGATGCAAAATTCACAGAATTCAAGGTACGAATATCAATTGTAGCATGGAAACCATCAGTATCAGGAAATTCTCTGTCGCGCTGGCTATGGCCGCTTTGCCGAAGCTCTCCTTCGGTGGATTGCCGACCAACGGTCAATCCGTCGTGATCAGTGTAGGGGTGTTACGCCGCTCGTACTCGCTTCCCTTTGCCGCGTGGGCATGTCAGGCCTTTGCTATACCGGTTTTACGGTTCCTTAGTGTTACTGCTTCCATATTAAGACTAATAATGAGACCGACCTGCCCCATGCGCAGCTTGTGAAGCTCCCTCAACGCACGGAACCTGCGGCGCAGTCTTTCCTGTGCTTACCTTTACATCTCAGCCTCCCAGAATGTTCTTAGCAGGTTTTGAACGGAGCAGTCTGTGTTTCGTTGTCGTCGTCGGGAGGTCGCAATGCAGTCTCTTTAGCGAGATGCAAACCTTTGAGACACCCAGTTCGTGTTCGCGTTTGTTTCGCGTGTAGTGCCCATGTACCCAGGTCAGTGATTGTAGCAAACCACCTTTTTTCGTGTGCCCCTAGATATGCGTAAGTGCTACTGCTGATGTGCAGCATAATATGAAGTAATGTTGAATTTATTGGATTGTAAGAAGAACAGGGCAGGAAGGAACATCGACAAAAGAGTTCGGGAGTCATTTGGCGATCGAAGTCGTGGACGGTGTTGGTTTTGTCGGTTTGACGTAGCTTTTGCGGAAGGCGATGAAGACGGGATTTCCAATGGACGAAATCATGCCTGTGCGCCTCCCTTATGCTGTCCCTTTTTCATAAGGTTTTGCTGTGAAGTAAAGTCGTGCGATCGCAAATGGTTAGGGTGGCTGCTTTAAAAAAGTAACAAATGACAAATTAAATAGTAACATGCATTCGGATGAGCCGCATGTATAAGGGGATGTAGTGTCCCTATATTTTCATGTGATGTTAACGCTGAAACGAACTTATGTCGTTTGATCCGGTGGGAGTGACAGTGGCAGCTTTTGTAACTTGCACCTTGTATCGAACATGATGTAGCTGCTCTTCATTTAATTCTGACTGCAGAATGAGAAAGCGATACCATCCAAAGCAGTCCCTTTTTGATTGATGCATTTAAGGTGCAAAATATGGTAGGATCGTGTGATGTCCGATTTCCCATTCAACTAGAAGGTCTCTGTGTGACGCACACTCAGTTCAGTACTTATGAGCCTGAGCTTTTTCCTGGATTGATCTATCGAATGGTTAAACCTCGTGTCGTTTTGCTGATCTTTGTTTCGGGAAAGGTGGGATCAACTTGTTCCATATTACATTTCTTTTCTTTCTATAGGTATCGCTTAGTTTTACCATATTGCGTTACCGTGATTTTTTCTTTGTTCAGGTTGTGATTACCGGAGCTAAATTCAAGAAAGATATCGACGATGCCTTCAGCCAGATCTATCCAATCTTGAAAGGATTTAAGAAGTAGACGTTTTCGTGTAATAATTATTCACAGCAGTGATTGCAGATTGTTTTATACCGTAACTGCCATTGATAATGGGGGTTGAGCAGAAACTAACTTTATCTGGAAAGTCTACTAGATTCATATACTTGAAGAGATTTACTATTGCACAGGCTTGATCTGACGGTGTACGTGTTTTGAGAGTAAAAGAGCAGCGTGTGCGCTTTTCTCAACTTGATAATTTATGTCATGCGTTTTATGCTATGTTTTTCATGGTTATCCATGCTCAGTTTGTTTTAGCTATTTTTAGTTATTGATGTTAGTGTATATATGATTATTCGTTTTCCGAACTTATTTTGTTTGAATAAATAGGTTATGGTTATCCATGTTAAAGTTTGCTGTTGATTAGGAGATCTGCAAATGTTCACACGATTGGTGTACCTCTGTTGAAGCGCTATTTCTTACTCAGTCGACCTGCTCATGATTCGGCCATAGAACTCTTACCCTCCAACTATACCCTCACTGATCAGGGTAGGTGATAGGCTTCCCTCATGATGCCATGAACTGTTGTAGTCGGCATCGCCGGCTTCAACAGCTCCTAGCCTTATGGGGGAGACTCATTTTCTCTAATCAAAGTAAGGTCTCTCTCATAAGGGGAAGGCAGTATGGAATTTGATACCATTGGTGCCGTCAGCAAGCATTAAGCCGAAGCTGGGGGTGATGCCGACGCTGCCCATGAAAACCTGCCTACATATGTTGTAAGATGATTACAGGAATGACCGATGTAATCTGGGAATGTCTCAAAGCTGCCCATGACATTCCCTCTTTACGCGGCTTGCTCAGTGAGCTTCCTCATGATGATCTATTTCTCATCGCCCAGGAAGCCCTTTACGACGTGATCGGAGCCAATTTCGCAGGCTGTAATGGTACGTAGCTTTTCACAGTTTTTCAGGTACATCCAAGTAACTGTCGTAGTTTTCGGGTAAAAAGGGTAATGATCAGTAGTAGTTCAGTTCCATCTAGTACTCTACTTCTGAGGATTTTGGTAATTTCCTCATAAAGTGGATCGTTACGAGAGTTAAAGTATTTTTCCATCTTTTAATCCAACTCATGTTTGAAGAAATGAGAAGGCTTCGATTCCATCGGAACGTTGTTAAGTGACCTTGATTTGGAGCTGTGCCAGTTGCTTGCTTGGTACATGGCTTTTTAACACTTAATTTATATTTTATTATTTGAATGCCATCATTTGATTTTCTGGATTGCCTTTTACTGGTTTACTTTAAGCATCCCGCTCTTCGATCCCTTCCTTCCTTGAAAACGAGCTTGCGCTGTTGAAATTCGATGTCAATGAGCCTTATGCTAAAGCCAGGTATGATTTTTACCACATTTTCTCTATAAGTGCTTTATATGCCTTAACATGATGATGACGGAGGTTCCATACCATAATATTTTCTTGGTTTCTCAGTACCATATTTGTCAGAAGAAAAACGAGCCAAAGTTCACAGAGCTTCACCGCACCCATTTTTAACGGGCGCTGTTGTTTTATGGGTTACTCTAGCATCTAACTTAAGACCTGTATCAGGTTTAGTGCCTTCTTTCGGCCTACGAATGGTGTACCTGTATGATGGTTCACATAATCGAATGAAATCCTTCTCACCAATGTTGTATTTTGGACATAATCTAGAATTTCGTTCTTTCTATGCCAATAACTCATCTGATCAAGCTTTGTATGGATGACCTCAGTAATAAATAAACTCTGAACGAACTCGAAAATTTATTTATAAGTCACCAGTTTTGCAAATTATGTTCCGAAATGTCTATTCAAGTATTCAGTGCTTCCAAATCACTTTCTTCTTAGGCTACTTTCACATCTTTTGTTTGCCAAAATTGCTATTGTGGATCAGGAGTTGAGACAGTACTGCAAACGTGCTAGTTTGTTAGCTTTCAGGTAATTGCCACTAACCCTAGAACTATTTACTTACAGAATCAACACAATTTCTTTTAGAATTATTTTGCTGTGGCAGAAAATGCTCGCTGAGCCGTCAGTAGATCTGAAAGACTTGATGGATGAGATTGTGAGTCAAAGCATTGGTAGAATTTTCAATTTTGCCCCTTTGCTAAATAAGTGATTTCCATCTAAAACAGAATTTTCAGGCTGGAACAGTAGAAAATAACGACCTAGATTCTGAAGAGAATATAATATATTTGCTTGAAAGAGCCAATTCTCACCTGATCTACTTCGAATACGAAAAGTGCGCCGATTGTATCCAGTGAGTTTGCTTCTGTTTTCCTACAGTTCGTTTTTTGTGATGTCCCCTTTTCATTGTTTTATGATGAAAAGGGCTCTACAGTCTTGATCATTTAGTATACTGTGAATGGGTTTCCAGTGTAGCATTAGACACTCATTTATTACGTCGCGACAAAGGCATGTCATCATGAACTAGCAAATTAACCCTGAAAAGGCACAAATTTACCGTATGCTGTAGCAAATCTTTCGCAAAGATTTTCCCTCAAGATTAAACAAAAGACGGCAGTAGAAGTCAATACGGTAAATGCTGGTTACTTCCCATACCGTTTGCGATCGCTCGAAGTGTTCGCACCAACCTCCATACCACCTGCTGAACACCTAATTCACTGAAACGACTTTTACCAATGGATAAGTTTGTCATTATTTCTTGCATTTTCGAAGTTTTAGGCATGCGCTAAAGCTGTCAAACCTCAATATGGAATTGGCAGGGAAGCTTGGAAAGCGTACCCGTTTCCAGCAACGTGACATCGCTCAGTTGGTGCTGAACGCGGTTCGTTTACACCTCGTAGCATTTTCATCCAAATTTCCATCGAAAGCTTCCTCTTTCAAGGAGTCTGCCATATCTAACCCACCCTCCGAGGATCTCGACGTCCCCACAAACTGTGCTCTGAACGATGATACCCTCCTCGAGAAGGTCATTTTTTTTCAATAGTCAAGACACAAGTTTTCTTGACTCTATTTCTTTGAGCGGGCAAGCTTCAGTTCTCTCTAGAAGTAAATTATCTTGCGCTGATGCCTCGTTCATTAAGATTGCACTGGCTGAGGGAGGAGATACAACTAAGCCATTATCTCCTCTGCAGTTAGCTGTAGTATTGGCATTGTATAGATTGGAGAGGAGAAGTGAGCACTGTGATGAACTGTTCATGGAAAGAGCGGACGCTTATTTAGAAGCGGTGAGTGTTGTGATTTTTTTCGCCTCATGTGTGATTTGAATATGCCCATCTCTCCCGGACCGGTCAATTGATTCTCAAAAAGTGTACTGATCTATCCGGAGTTACAATAACATTGAGTTATACCCCAAGCACTACCTTCTGAGGCAGACCAGCTAAAGTACGAGTTAGCATCTTTACCCTCTGAGACTCCCTCTTACCCTTTTTGCGATTTTAGTGGTTTTGAACACTTTAAAAAGATAGGTAGCCTAGATGGCCGACACGGGATCCCACTAGAACTTCGTCTCCATTCTAGCTTAGTTAGAGGGGACATTCGCTGCCATCGTATCACCGCCTCCTTACCTAAAATGCGGATTTTCAAGCAACGAGTACTAAGATTTCAGATAATCCGGCAACGGCGTGGCTGGGCCGTTCAAGCTGCAGCATTGTTGGCACGATGTGACTTGGAACGAACGAAAAAACGACGAGTGGAACGAGCTTGTGCGCAGTCGGAGTTGATTTGCAAGCTCATCGATGGAGTGGATGATGCGGTAAATTGTAAACAACGAATACTGCTTCCAATGATAGCTTGTAACAGTGTAGCTAGTTGTTCAATCCTTTGCACCTCTTGAGTTTCTGCAAGGAACATTCCTGTAGGTCATTTGAGATTTACTGCCTTTTAATTTTTTATGATTTAAGATGGGTGGAAGGATAACTTCAAAAAACCAACTTAAATTAACTTCAGCTGGTCTCTGTATTTTCACTCCCGCCCTGGTGTACGCCATGCTCCTTATCGAACTCATATTTTGGGTTCAGGCCACCCATTCATTTGAAGATTGATCAGCTGGCTGCTTGACATCATCTCTTTTTGACATTGTTGTGTGAAATCTTAATCATGTTTTGCAGAACACGTGATTGGAATAACACACCCCACACCCATGAAACATATTGCTTATCATTCACATGTTCCAGACACCGATTGACGTTAAGAAGAAGCGTTGCGACCTCGTTCTAGCGTCTGGCCTGGAGCCGTACTGGAGCGCCTATTGCATTCATGCCGAAGCATTACAATCTCTTGGATGCACTTCAGTGAGCATCCTTGGTTTTATTCTCGTCGTTCAGCTTCTGATTCTTTTTGTTTTTGTTGTTGTTTACCGTAAAAAAGGTGGTGCTAATTTAAGGAAGCGCTGTTATTGTACGAAAATTTGGAAATGTGGGATTGTGTTATAGAATGTTTCAAAAAGCTGGGTCAACTGGAGAAGGTAAGCAAAGTTTCTCTGTAAAGTTACTACTGAAAAATAAGATGAATTGAAATCGGCTGGAATCTTGAGGTAGGAATAATCGGTGATGCTACCTGGTCAGATAAATTGGCTCATTCAAAATTCCGAGATTCCCTTTGCGTACTAACGCCAGGCAATGCCCAAATGGACTTCATTTGCTAGCTTTATCCAGGAATTCGCGTTTTCAGGCAGAAGCACTGATTCGTCGTTTACTGAAAGAGAGACCAAATGATTCTATGCTTTATTGCCTTCTTGGAGATATAACTATGGAGCCTAGTTACTATGAAACGGCGATGAAGGTTAGAAGTTTGTCTTGTTCCTCTTCAAATTCACTTAACTACTCCTTCTGTTAGAGAAAGACTAGAGAGCCGTCATAACAGGAAGCAAATAGAAGATGAGATTGAGAAGATGAGGTTCTGAAAGTAAAAGGGCTCGTACTCAAGCAGCCCATATTACCCACTGTGTATGAGCAATGACTAGGAATGTTGATCAAAAGGTTTTGTGTCATTCAATAAGAGCCCAAGAATTCCAATAGCTACGATTTATATGCATTGTTTCTGAATTTTTTTTATCGAAAAAATCGAAAAGAAAAATATTAAAACTGTTGAATCAAATTCACTGCTACAAACTGGAGGAGTGAAATTTATCCAATGAATTAACTTTTGGATGGATTAAGATGACCAGTGACCGAAATGCTCGTGCTAGAAAATCGCTGGGTAATTTGATGGTTCTTCGGAAACAGTTTGAATCTGCCTATAAACATCTACGAAGGAGTTTGGAGTTGCAACCCATACAGGTAATTTCTAACTCTTGTTTTTGTTTTTTGATCGACTAGTTCAATGAATTTGCTCTCGCTCCTCGAGTAATAGAAAACTTGGCCCTACTAGTGCATGGTAATTATCCATGTGTTTTGAAAAGCTTGTTTCCGCCGTAGCATTTTTTAAAGGAATTTCGATGACTGGAATTGACCCTTCTAGGAAATTCTAATTCGAGTTGTCAGCTTGTATTGGCAGCAGTAGATGAAATTCGGTGTGCCTACAAATCATCTAATAATGTTTCAGCTGGGTGTCTGGTTTAACGCGGGATACTGCGCGTGGAAGCAAGAACAGTACGCCGATGCTGTCACCTGTTTTCATCGATGTGTAAGCTATTATGCACTATTTTTAATCTGTACTCTTTCTCTGTGCTACCATGCTCTTTCAGGTGAGCTTAGAGCCGGAACATTTCGAGGCTTGGAATAATTTGTCTGCTGCCTATATCAAATTAGGTCAGAAAGAAAGAGCTAGAAAAATTATCCAGGTACAGTTCCACCCTTTTGTCTTCTACCTTTTTTGCTTTCTCTAGTGCCCTGCTTCCATTCTGAAGTACGTGATTTATTCGCTATGGTTTGCAGGAAGCTTTGAAGTTTAACTATGAGCATCCGAAAGTTTGGGAGAATTATCTGCTTCTCTGTGTTGACACTGCTGAGTTTGATCAGGTATGGATTTAATTGTTTACAAATTCGTCAGTTTTCTAGCACAGATTGTTTTTTTTTTCATGCCAGCTCTCAATTATCTTTATTGATCTCTATCTGCTCCTCATTCCACCAAGTCTCATTGCCAGAGGCGAGCCTGAGGTCGCCTGTGCGCGACGTGAAAGTCGCCCATCGCTGCTACACCACGGCGGATGTGCGCCGCTAGGCCATTCTTGGAAGTAGTGAACTTGAAGATTCGATGTGGCTTTCCCTCACTTGACTGCTCCTGACTGACATTCGACCGTCTGTCGTCAACCTTACGAAGCCGAATTTTAGTGGCTGTACCATAGCTACATTATGGTTCCTCACAATCAGACTCTGCATTGTGGCCCCACCTGTGAATATAATAAGTAATACTTACCGCATGGTTGAAAATGTTCTCCCCTTGTCCCTTATTCGCCAGGCAGTAGCCCGATGAAGTCTTTAGCATGAAACGCGGTGGTTCCGAAGCAGTTAACCCTTTGCCGATAATGCAGATTTCGACGTGACGCGCCCATGGGACCACATCCCCTCCTTTCTCCCGCGACTGGCACCCACATGTGAGTGGCACTGCCCCAGGAGAAAACTCTTTCATGCGCTTACTGAATTTAGTATTTGGTAGGAAACAAGAAAGTGTGGTGGTTCCCAAAACTGGGTGCCAATGTCCCATGCCTTAGTCATAGTGGCACCCAACGGTGGGTGCCATTGTCGTCAAAGGGTTAAAGAAAGGTTCAGTTCACGAGTATTTTGGGATATCTAGTTTTGGAGAGTAATGCGAGTGTATTTCTAGAATAATGCAAAAGTGGGGAGAAATACGTAGAAATTGGCGTGTTCTAAGAAACATATGGCTACGGAAAAGAAGTGAAATAAGGGCTGCATGAGAACGGACTACAGAAGTAACATGTAAGGGGTATCTGGACGAGATGTTCAGATGTGGGCACCACTGCTTGCAGCTGGCTGCAATAAGCTGCCTGCGTGCAAGGCGTAGATCCAGGTGGGACTGATGCCACCTGTACAACCTTTACAAAGTTGAAAACTCGGCAAGATTGATATCCATGGGCCTCGATCAAGCTATATTTTTGGTGCGTCGTATATGTGACGGGTGTTTTGAGGTGCTTAAGTGTGCCTTCGGTTTACTGTATCTCACATTCTCCGGACTTTACACTCCGTCTTGTGAAAATTTGCCCGTCATTGGGTTTGTACTTCGGGCAATACTCCGGTTGTAGGGACCTTATTATGCTCTATGTTTGCAGTTTTTCGATCCTTCAGCATCCCTTAGACTTGGGATCGAAGTTTGATACGAGGGGGAAATTTATGAAACCTTTTCAACATGAATTGTGCTCTAACTATAAGGTGTCGATTTCGCTTCCCAGCTTCTGTTGGTCGAATGGATTGCTCATCCGACAGGAGCACGCTTTCTTCGAATTAGATGCTGGGTTATGGTCTTGAATAAAAAGTTGTCAGGAGCGATACCAGAAATCGAAGAAGCTCTGTTGTGGATTCACAACCATATAGATGTTTATAGTAGAACTAGCCTTTACCAGTATGATAGATAACATGCTAGTTCAACATTGTATTAACCATAGGCATAACTTAACATAAGTGTCTCTTAAGTTGAGACCACAGGCATGAGCTGGCGGTATCATAAGTGTGCAATCAAGTAGGTAACTTAAGTTCTGCCGTTGGCGCGGTCCGCTCTTTCATCCCCCGAGCTTGAGTACCGCCACGGGCCCCCTAAGGTCCAGTGGCGATACGGTATCTGAGGACCGCCCACATATTGTGTATATAAACTCCGTGAATGTATTGTAACGGTCGATCCTTATAATAACACGTTGTAATAAACATTACACGTCACTGGTTAAGACTTCCTTTGGCTCATTAGCCAAAAGCTCTCAGCCAAGCCCGAAAATTTCTCCGATTTATCTTGGCTTTGCGTGATTCTGTCCTTGGCGATTATGGTCTGTTTTTATGGCCCCATCTGCCTCAAATGACTTATAAAAATGATGACTTTTGAAATATTCAAAGCGCTAAAGGTTAAGCTCTCGTTATTTAGCTCCGCGGACATTGCGTTCTACGATCTTTTTGTATTTCGCCCAGAATTTCATTTCCTATTTGTGCAACTAATAAATTCTAGGCAATCAAAGCATTCCACAGGTTGCTCGATCTGAACAAGCAACAAAAGGACGATGAAGTGCTTGAGATCATCGCATCGAATGTTTTACGTTCGACAGAAGAGGTAGTTCCACCTATTTTGGATCTCGGAAAATAGCTTTACTAAATTGAGACTTGTCTAGGCATCGGATGATCCCTCCAAGCTTCAGGCAAGCAATCTGAAATCAGAGCTGGTGAAATTGTTTGGACGCCTTAGCTCTGTGCAAACGCTATCGCCAAAGGTGAGCTAATACTAAATTAGCGAGATTCCTTTTTGTACTTCCTGGACTCTATAGTCGGAAGGGTCTTTCTTCTCATTACATTCAAACGAGAGGCTCTACTGAGTTGTCAAAGCTTTTTTTTTTTTGGAAGGAAAATTTTCGTTGATGAGGTTTGCAATCTTCTCAGAACGCCCATATTTTAATGAGAGTGGAATCAAATACTCTAGCTGTTGAATACCAGTAGTGAATTAGTTTGCCTTCTTGGGGAACGATAAAACTGGGTTTAATCAGGTTTTTTCTTTTCTATCAAACAGAAGAGAAATCGAGTATTGCCCCAGTAGAACCTTTCCCCTTGATGTTTCGGAAATACTGTTCTGCTAATTCGTTTTCGAAAACAGACGGATGGTTCAAGTTCTCAGAAACGAAGTTGTAGTATGTATACTACGGGTAATTATCGCCATCGTTCTCCTGAAATTTGATTTGGTACAAAAACCTAAATCTAGGCATGGAAATTGTATGCTTCATTGAAGCGACCTTCCGATGACAATATCGAAGAAGGAGAGAAGTATGTGCAGCTTCTAGAAAGATCTCTTCTGGCTGAATCCAACAAGCCTGTGAGTTGTTTGAAAAAAAGTTAACTATTATTTTCAGTTTTCATAGCATTTATACATACATACATACGTTCTGCATGTACAGTAAAGGAAGCAAGGGTAATGAGCCCATTATAGTATGCCAGATCTTCCAGAACTGGAGTAAAGACGTTGAATCGTGCTGTTCGGTGCTGTCATCGGCTGTAGAGCTAGCTTCAGAACGTCTTCGGTTTGCAGCACTCAAAGGAGAGGAAGCTTTGAAACAGGTCTCTATCCATGAGCTTGCAACTGCTATGTTCTTTAATTTATCTTGCTGATTGAGGCGAAATCTCGCGTTCGCATGTCGTTAAAACCGTTGGTTACGATTGCAAGGAGAGAGTACGGTAGCCAAAACAAGGAGAATATGAGCGAAAAGTGGGAAACTGTCAACGAGTGTCTGGATAAAGCAGATAGTATGTTGCGGGAAGTGTCTTTATGATTTTTGTTGATGTTGTTATGAATATGCGACCCATGGCGCACAATCATGTTTAATGTAGTTGATTGGTAGCGCGAGCCGTTAGCAGCTGGTAAACCTCTCTTTCTGCTTGGCCGTGTACCATCTTTACTAGGGCGTTTACAGTGGTGTCAGCATGCTTGTTATGTTGTTGAAAAATTTCACGTCAATCTTGTCTGTTGGTTGTTTTACTAGTGATATTAAATATTCATGAAGAATCCCGGAATCATCTTCATATTCGGTATTAACCTACATATCTGTATGACTCAACAGTTTCTATTCTCAGAGTAACATTGCCTATAGAATTCTCTCGCTTGAAGGCACAGTTCACGATAATTTTGGGTATCTCAGATTATGACAAAAAAAGGAAGGTAAGATGGAAAATAGTGCGTAAGGCGAAGAAACTGCGTGAATCTGTGTTTCTAAAGTGAAAAAATGCGTCGAAAAATCGTTAAAAAGGGGGCTGGACGAGAATGAGAGCAGAAGAATGACGAAGAGTGGAGCATTTGGACGAGCTGCGCACAGCGCGTCATTGCGTACATGTGGGTCCTGGTGCAAACATCTGACTACAGTAAGCAAAAATTCATCCGCTTAGAAGCATAAGTAGACAAAAAAACCTAGTTACAGCAAAAATACCTTTTTCAGCCTTTTGGGTTAGGAAATTAAAAATGGGATCGCGACAGCAAAAGGAATAACGGAGGAAAAAAGAATGGGAGAAAAACATCGAGTCATCACTCTGCGATCACTGATTGTGTGTGGGTCCTAAACGAATAATAGCAATCTGTATTGCCTTGACACTCGTCTAACGTTACATCGATTGAGAGGCATGAAAGCGAATCAAGCAGCAACAGGGCTTCCACTATGCCCTGATCGTCGAGATATGGGAGTGAGATGGAACCTTCGACCACCCATGGGGGCCACTGTGTATTCCTGATGGAAGAACTTAGTAACCATTTTTATCGTGAATCGTGCCTTTAATGTATCATGAGAGTCTCGTAAGCCTGGCGATCAGTACGATTGGAATGGACTTGTCGGTTTTCAAATTGGGAACTTTTCGAATGCACACAGAAACAGATCACTTGAATGCGAAAGAATTTATCCCTTATATACTCTGTACATGAAATTTCGACAATGGAACGCAACAACCTCAGCAAAAGACGAATTACTGTTGATTCTTGGCGTCTTATGAATGAACAATTACCAGAAGTTCAAAGCCGTTTTCGTCGCTTGTCAGTACACGGTCGTTTACACCATTCCAGTCGTTTCATTGCCGAATTGAGTCGAAGACCAACGGAACAATTGCTGAACACGGGACAACATATGTCTGGTGCACAGCGTAGGCCATGTCTACGAATGTCTGCTTTGACTTTTGCAATGTCGTCATGTGTTGGTAGATCGTCTGGAAAACGAATACTTCCCATTATTTTTAATTACTTATTATAACTATGGTGGCAGATGGTATAGTTGCAAGTGGCTCACTGTCACATGCATGGTGCAGGGATCGAATTCAATATCGATACTTGTCCCGCTTTCGGCTCTTTCATCTCTCCGTTCAATCAGACCCAGACTCGTCTAGGAGGATAAAGGCACTGATGTGCACAGGCTAACGCATTTCGTTGTGTAGGTCACATATGCATTCAAAACGCCCCACGATACTAAGGAAATTTGGATGTGGGAGCGTATTCCAGAAACAAGATTGTGATGACTATTACTGAAAAAGGAGTAGTTGCGTTTACTCATGTGGTTACTGGTTCTCTTGATAAACCCAGGTCCTATGTCGAAAGCAATGAGGTCCCTGAGATCTACCTGATTGGTTTTGTTGAGTTGAGATAGATTTTTTGTCCTCTTCACAATGTCGGCTTTGAAGGCCGCAGTCCCCACGATCGTTGCAGTCTCTTCGTCGATGTTGTAAGCCGTCTTCACATTTCGACCATTCTGTTTGCGTTTCTGAGGCGACCACCAACTTTTCAGGCATAACTAAAAAGTTGAAGGAACTGATTCAAATTCAAGTTTTCAACAGCGAAATCTTTAGGTAGATCTGGTTCAGTGAAAATGAAAGTTTACCGAAGGTTTTGGCTGCATGAGCCCGACGTCGTAGAGGTGGTTTCTGGCAACCGATCTCGAAGTAATCCACGATGTCAGTGTTTTCTTCAGCAAATAGCTCGCTCTGCGTATGGCGGTCTTCCGAATTTAGAATACAATTTAATTGGGCTTCCTAAATTATCAGTCATGCTGTGAATATATTATTCAAGGCCTGTAGGTTTGAACAGGGCCATCGATAGACTGCAAACTTTAGTGCTCCAGGTTTTCTCTGACCGTTTTATCGGTGACAGGAAGTTCTNGCAAACTGTTCTTAGGCAGTGGAATAACAAGAGTCCCTAACTTTGAACAAAAATCACTTCCACAGGCTCCTCGCTGAGAGGTTATGGTCTATAAATCGACTGTCGTACCTACCTCGAAGAAATACATGCCACTAGTGCAGTTGAAGCCAAAGGTGCTGAAGCTGTCAAGGCATTGCTCGAAGCAGGATTCAAATGAGGTCGTATCGGCAACCGCCTCGGCGAATCCTACCAGGACCATCTGTGGGAAACGTGTGAATGTAGGAGAGCAATTCCTGAAAGAATTCCACTACGGGAACTATACTATAAGAGGTTGTGGTCAAAAGCATGAAAGTCTTGAGCACTAATTGTTCGTACAGGGAGTGTTTCTTGAGACTTGGTTTTGTCTGTGAGTCTAATCATTATTCGACCTGCATACAATGCTTTTCCTCCGCTTGTCAGGTTCTATGGTGCCAAGGGAAGAGTGGAAGGATGGAGGCAGGAAGAGAATATTTTGAAGAATCAGTTCACGATAAAAAATGTTTCTGAGGTATGTCACTTACCAGTTAGATGAATCTGTGGCTTCCCCTTAAATCATAGATGGCACTGTCAGATCGGAAAACGCCTAGGTAGGTCGCTATAAGGGCTCAAGGGTGTATCGGCTGCATGTTACGCTTAAGGGGAACGAACTTCTGTAGCGTTGCACAGACTGTATTTGAAAAAGAACATCCCTGTAGAAAGTCACATAATTAGTCGTGCGACCCATCGCGACAGTTGAGGGCGGCTTTGCATACTTCTGGCTTAATATCGTCAGCTCTTTGCGAATTTGCAGCGGGTGAAATCTCGTCCGAATACCTCTTATATATATNTATATATATCCTTTCCCGTCGTGGTAATCTCGCGGTCAATCTAGATATTCTCTACATTAGATAGGTGTTTTTCTTATCCAGTTCAGAGGAATTTTTCGCTTACTTCGTCACCAATACACTGTTCCCCATCAACACCAACGCCTCTCATCTTGAAAGGGTGCCTCAAAACTATCGTACAGTGCATCTGATTTGTTGAAAGACACAAGTTGGGCATAGACAATACGACAATAGCTAGCAGACCTCGTCGATTTTTCCGAAACGCAGATCTTCTCGTAGTAGAACGAGTCGTTTCTTTGTTGGAGTTGGCCGTTTCCTACTGGTACGGCGGTCTCTGCGGAGAACGAGCACGTTGACGCCGAGAAATCGAACGATCGGCAGTCCAGAGGTTGTCCCTCAATCTGAAAAAGTGTTCAATCAGTGAATCCCAAGGAGTGAGTCGCGCCAAGTATAAGCTTTCTGCCATGGATCGTAGTTGTCTCAATAGTTCTGCGGGAGAGCCTGATTAAAAACACAAGATAGACGAAAGTATGAACGTATTATATCTCCATGGACCATGCAATCGACGGCAGAGTCTATAGGCAGTGTCCAACCTCTGCTTGATTGGGCAAACTCACATTATTCTTTTCGCAGGCAGCTACACATTCGTTTACATCGCCTACTTGTATCGTTATGTCATCGTTCTTGAACAGCTCGAAGCCTTCAGTGCGCAGGAAGCTGAAATAGATTTTCCTCATACATTTGGCGGAGAATTCTGAGTGGAGTTCAGAAACTCACAAAAAAGGCCCTCTTAGCTATCATTTTCTCATCCATTCTACAACGTCGACTCGTAATTGTCTACTAACGGTGGCACGGCTCTGTCCTTCCTACCACAAGATCGTCTTTGCCTTTCTGCACGAGCACTTGAGGAATTCTTACACATCAACTCTACTATTGTGGAAACTATTTGTGAATGTTTTGCGATTCACCTGCTTAAAGTACGCCTGAGCTACAACCTGCCCTAAGTGGTAAGACCTCTTTATTCCCACCTGTTTACTTCATTCGATACTTTCCATGTTTTTGGGCCATTCTGGAAGCGACCTAAGGATTTTTAATGAACACCTCAAATAGTGCAGCTTAAAGAGTCACTGCTCACCTCTGGTGTGCTCAGCACGCTTCCGAAGCGAGCTATCTCTCGGATATTCCCTAATAAGTGGTCTCAAATTGGCTACAATACTCACCTGATTCTCTTGCCGGCTGGACAACGCATCGTTGTCAGCTCTGGCAGGTCCGGCTGATTCTGTTCGATTAGGTCGTCTACCAACGTTTTCACAATATCACCAGATTCGTCTCTTCGATCCACTTTTGAAGCACGAAGTGTCGCTAAAAGGTAGGTCCTCTTTTATGTCTCTTTTGTTAAATATGAACAATAACGAATTAAGGGAAAGATGTTGCAGCGACAAGTGGTCACATTATGAGATGCGTGGTTTGCAGATTGAATCCTGAATTGATTCTCGTTCATTTTGAAGGCACAGGTCACGATAAATTTGAGGTACCTCTTTTTATTCAAAAGCGGAGTATAGTTTGGGAATAGTTCATTGGTAGTGAAGAAAGCTAGAAAACTCGCCATTTTCGAGAAATATAAGGCTCCTAACAAGTAGGGGAAATAGAGCTTGGACGAGATCACCATGACGGAAATAACATGAAGGCGTATTCGGACGAGATTTCAATTGTTGCAAATGCGTAAAAGGCTGCCTTTCACTGTCGCTATGGGTTATGACAAGTTGCTTGAGCCTCCTACATGGGTTCCCTTGTGAATGAAGCAGCTTCTGCAGTGCTGGCGAAACTCGTCCGAGGCAATACACGGTACGATCTTTGAGCCTTTATAACCCTCGTTTAACGACCTAATAGCGCCAAATAAAGTATACGAGGGAGCCTAGAAATCACCTTAAAGGGAAATCTCAGTAACAATTTTTATCGTGAAGTGTGCCTTGGTGTAGCTAGGTGTACGCAACAGCACACACATTTGGACAACTCGTCCAAATACCCCTTACATGCAACTTTTGTCATAGCATTCTCGTCCAGCCTCTTGTTTTACTGATTTAGTTAGCCTTATGATTCTCCAAGTGTGGGGATTTTCGCCTTTTCTTTGCCTTTCTTTGACTACTCTGAGCCATGACTTTTATCATCCATCCAGAACCAGTTACCTTGGAATTTTCGTTAATTATCCTCGAAAGAGGCCTTCTTTCCCCCTCTTTCCCAGGTATCAGCTGCAAACACTAATTATAACACCATGTGGTCTTCGAAACTTTCCTAAAGAATAGTGCTTGCAACTCTTGACACGAAGCTTCTACAAGGACTTCTTCCTCTGTTGCTCAACAGTTCCTCTAAGGAATCAAATTACGCTTTGTTTAAATAATTACGTTGCATTGTTTCAACCGAAAGCCAGACCCTCAGGCTCAGATTATTTAGGCTAACCAGACACTGCTTGAACCTTCAATTTCTGTGTTTTTCGAGCTTCGAACTTTCAAGCGAATAGGCAATCTTCTATTTCACCACAAAATCTTGAGTAGGTTTGCGAGACTTGTGGTCAAACTTCCACAAACTTGATCCTATTTATAAGTTGTTTTGATAGAGAACCAAGGTCTATTCCTTAACTCACGAATACGGTCGGCTGGTTCGGTTGTGTAATACGTGGTTGATGCCGGTGTTGTTGTAGTCGTGGTTGTAGAGCTTTCGAGATAGCTGAATGTTTATCATCAGAGGTGATGCTCATAAGAACAAATGAAGAGAAGTGAAGCAGTTCCGCAGAAATCGGTGTAGAGGTTCAAGAAATTAGGATCATGACTGAAAAGCAATTTCGTCTATCCGTCTTATCACATAGTCGGTCCAGACTATGGTTATACGTGGTCCAAACTATGATTATGTCGGCGTTTAGGTCTAACGCATCTCCTTCTAGACTATACCATCATCCATTATGATCTTAGGTTTCTAGTTATACCTATCAAAGAAACACATGGCCAGGTATTCCTTACCTCGCCTGCACGATTTGCTTGATCCAACCCTACAGGGTCTTGCTCGTTCTCTGTCAGACTACTGTTACTCCCGATTCACTACCATTCCTAATAAAGAACGCTTATTCTGTGCTGTGAGAGTACGGGATGCTGGCATGTCTTACATCATCGATTTCAAGACAGCTTTTTTGATACTGTCGAGACAGAAGCGGTAGTTGAAGCCCGGGGCAACCAGGGTGTTCCTACTTGATATATAAGGATGCTCTGTGAGCTCTACAACAATCTTACAACCAGGACTTTGCCATGCTACATGGGACTTGGTGTCAACATGAAAAGAGGGGTCGGGTAAGGTGGTGCCGCTGGCCCAAATTAGCATTGCCGTTCACGAAAACGTAATGCGTAGGCGTGTTAGATGGAACGAATTTCTCTGAATGCTCTGGATGCGCCACCCTTGATAGAGAATCCAACGTGACGGATGATGTAGCTACGGAAATGAAGAAGACGAACAACTAACAAACAGCAGGGACAGCCGCCTTCACGATGACCAGACTTTTTTTTGAAAACTTTGAACGAACGAAATACTGTGCCTCGTGGCTGTCAAGCGAGGATGACCCACTGGACCATTTTGGCTCGCGACAGGTACGAATTGAGACATTACTGGTGCCCACTCTAGGAAATTGCTGGTTAACGGGACGACATGTGATAAAGGTGATTCTCACATCAGGGCTGGGCTGATACAATGGCAATGGAGGCTCTTTATCATACGCATGGTCGCGAGATCAAATCCTGGATCGTTCAATCTATCCTTCCACTTCCC